GCAGGAATTTTCTTGCAGGGGGCCCACAGCTAGTGAAGTCCAACCCTTGTAGGAGGGGTAGTAGAAAGGCAGCATGGACTCTCTCAGCTGCTTTAGAAGCGACAGAACAGTAGTTGTGTTTCTTTGCCTGCTGCTATTTGAATGTTAAAGGTTGAAAAGTGTGATAAAAATGCCAACTATGCAATATGAACTACATACTCAGCCTCTCAAAAATCATGGGTGCATTTTCTCTTTTGCACACAGACTGGAGCTCCTCAGGGAGGTCTTTTTCATCACATGGAGAATAGCTAGCCATTGAAACCACCATGCGAGGGTTAATGTGTCTGTTCTCATCCATAAGCTCCTTTAGCTTCTTCACGGACTCAAAGGAGAATTTCAAGTCTCCATCCTATGTAGACAGAACCAGAAAAAAAATGTGTCAGGAAGTCAGTCCTTAGGCAAATCCATTCCATTTCAACTGTGAGCTCTCCCAAAAACTGTACTAGAGGGAAAAGACTGTTGAAACAAAGCCTAGATAAAATCCATGCTTGGCTGAAGGCAAAATGATCAAGACAAAGACCTTTCAGAGCAGCAGTGAGACCTGGCTGGCTAGTCAGGGCTTGCTTTATGTATCTCAACGGACGGAGGCAGAATTAGTGCATTTCTCACTCCCATGAGAGAGACCCATAAAATCTGGGGTCAAAAGATATAGGCTGGGAATCTTCAGCCTAGAAGAGAGATGACTGGGCAATATGTGGTAGAGATTTACAAAATCATTAGCTGAATGGGGGTAAATGGGAATTTATTTTGTTCACTCTTTCTTCTAATACACCAGTAGTGAACTTCATGTGCTGGCTGTCATGTGGCAGTCTCTAACCACACAAAAGGAGCTATTCCTTCACATTACACATTGTTAAGAGCTGAAATCCCTCACCCCAAGGTACTGTAGCAAGTTTCTATTAATGTAAAACTTGTCCACACGATTAATGGAACACAACTTATTGGCAGCATAAATATGACACTTCTGACTCAAAGCTCATACCAAAAGCTTCAGGAGGTCAGGACAGTATTCTGGGAAATATTACTCCATGTTTTAGATTGCTAGACCCTGTGCATCTGCTAATGGTCATTCTTTCAGTTTCAAGTGAATCCCACTGTTGAGGTCATAAAATTAAATTGCAGGTGTTACAACTGTTTAAACTAGGTGCATAAAGTCTGTGTATGTCTGCAGATAATCAGAGTTTGGCCTAGAAGAGAAAAAATAGTATTTTCAAATTGATCTTTAGCATGTGTTTTAACTTGGTTTAATGACCAACATGTAGTCAGTAGGATGAGCAAGTAACACCTACTAATTCAAAGAAATAAAGTGACGTGACTCTGATACAGCATGAGACCAAATATTACCACTTGTTTCATAGTCTCATGAGCCCAGTGCTGAATAGTGTGAGATGGGGGGAAGGGTAGTTGGTTTTGGTTTGTTGGGTTTTTTTACAGAATCACAGAATTCTGGCGTTAAGGAATTAAAAAAAAAACCCAACCAGATAAACTCTGGACATGCATTTACTTAACAAAGTCAAACTCTTTTCTACTTGCAATCAGTTTATGATTTTACTCAGGTTAATTTATCAGTCATGGCTGCCTGCGAAAAATTAACTTTTCCTGTGTAAATGCAGTTCTAGATTCAGCTATTGGTCACAGACCTCAAAAAGCATAAAACAGAGAACTAAAAAAGGATTGATTTCCACAGGTACAGTTTCAGAGAAACCAGAAAGTAGGAATGAACCTTGAGTTGTGTACGTCCTGGTGACAAAAAACAACAAAGGAACAAAAAAAAATTAACTCCCCCACCACCTCAAGTAAGAAAGATGTATTTGAGAGAGCTCAATCTCAGCAGCATCTTCCCCCCAAGGTGAAAGTGCATACTCTGTTGCTGAACTAAGAGATTTTACCACAGAAATAGTGCAGGCCAGATAAATACATCTCTGTAGTTTTTCTGGTTTCACCCCACTCCAACCATCTTCCTCCAATTTCCATCATACTCATTCAAGATCTGTGATGAGAATTGTCAAGATAGTGATACTCAGACTTCAAAAACATGATATGAAGTCAAATGAACTTCACTTCTGCTTTGCAAAACATTTTGTTAAATGAACGACTTCTGACATATTACGGGAGAGGGAAGAGAAGTCTTGGGAAGAATTTCAGAAAAGAAGAGCATAAGCCAAGTTTGCACACTGAGTAATTAGTCAGACCTTAGGGACCTCAAGTAGTGCAAGTGAAAGGAATGCAACACATATGCAAAGTACACTGCACATATATTGTGGAAAATACAGATTTAATGATTAATGAGATAAGAATTCAAACTACAAAGAGGAGCTAAAACTCCAGAGCTGCACTTTCTACACTTTTACCCAACCTAGAAAGAGCTATTCTCATTCAGTTTCTTTTTTATATGCCTCCAAGTGGAAAACAGAGATTTTTTTCATGAAGTAGGAAGCTGTCTGTTCCCCTGGAGACTCTAAATGTTAAAGAATGGTTTGGAAGAAAGAAGTAGTTTAAACCTGCTATCTCTGGATATCTCTGACATCCAAAGGAGAAAAAGAGGATATTTCAAGGCACAAAGATAGTACCTTATCCCTGGAAACCTACTGCACACATATAAAGAGAGTCAATAATTGTTTAATATTAGTTCTCTTGGTACTCTGAGGAAGTTATTTACATTGCAATCAAACTGAAATCTCCTGAACTGTTTCTAAGGATGAGCGCAGACAGATCCAACACACTCCCAATTACAGACAAGAGCACTGAAGTACCTTCTTAACTGCTTCCATGTTGCGTGTAATACCAGTCATAGGTGCTGTGCATTTTGGAAAATTTGATATAGCCTCCTCTAATAGCTTATCTGCCTAACACTATTTTATTGGATCCAGCTAAGCATTTCTTTCACCTTTTTTCTATATGTGATATGTGTGTAGGCTCCATCACATAAGCTTGCAGATCATTTTCAAAAAGAACTTCCTGCCTAGAAGCAGGCAACACAAGACAATTTCTCTTTTGTCACATCTTGTTTACATCATGCTATAAAGTTAGAGGTGTCCCCAGTTCTTGCAGCTTCACAACACATGGGGTCATGTGCAAAAGAAAACTCTGGAAATGCAATGCCTCAGTCAGCAAGGAATTTCAGAGCAGTGATATGGCTGGCAAAGTTAATTAAACTGCAGCAGCATGTTAGTAGTACCTGAAGCATTTTACAGAAAAAAAACCCTGAACCATAGGAAGATGATGTTGAATATCAAGCCAGAGCAAAGCAAAAATTCAGGTTAGTTTAGTTCAAGATTCCTGTTGCAGCCACAACACTTCATATAATACCAGTACTTTGTTGAACTTGTAATACCAACAAATTAAAGAGCAGAAAACTCACCTGAACATAGACTGCCTGGGAGCTGTGCACCAGTAAAAGGACTGCAAGGACTGTAAAGGAAAGAAAGCCTTTCATCGTGCCTGCAAAGAATAGCCTTGCCTAACCTGATTATATTGTATTTTCTCTGGCTTTGGTCTTTCTCTGTCTTTTGTGTCTCTGACTTTTTCCTCTTCTTCTTAGCACTCAGGCCACCTAGCAGTCAGAGCTCTATGCTCCCAGTGCAAAGCTGGAGCTTTATAAAGGCTTCACATAGCACTTGCTTGGTAATCCATTAATCTAAACTCCTTATTGACGTACAATAAACCCTCAGTGGACTATCAGTTATCTACTCCTTAACAGAGTAGGCCAGTCACACCCAGGCAGATCCTGGGGTTAATGAGTCACTCCCACTTTGAGATACTGGCCATGACGCAGGCAGGGAAAACATTCCAGTCTACAATAAATAAATGGTAGAGACTGAACTAACACAACATCTGAAACTCAGTCTCCATATGGGGAATGTACTCAGGTTTCTGGCTGCTTCCTGCAGAGCTGTGAGAAAGAAAGAGATTTGGAAGGAGACAGGAAAAAAAATGATCTTTTGCACTGATTGCTGGCCAGGTAGCTCCCTCTTCTGGGGATTCGAGATACTAAGACAGTAGCAACGGACTGAGGCAGATGAACACAGGCTGTGCCTGCATATGACCAGATACAAAATGTCACCTTGCTGCTCCTTTTTGCAGCACCTGATTAAAATGCACACATTAAAAGGCACATGGATTATCATTAAGGATAAAGGCTGCTATGAATCAAACCTGTGACTTGCAGTCTTACCCAGAAACATGGTAATGTCACACAGATGGAGAAGCATTAACATGCCTCACTCAGCTCAGTTCTGCCCATCAAGCTCAGGTCCTTTAATCTGTAGATGATTTCTGGCATATTGTGGCTTTGGAGTAACAACAGACACCATGCCAGACAATCTTCCTGATACCAGAGAACAGAGGAGGACAACAGCCACTAAGCAACTTTCTCAAATGTCAGCAATGTTTTATGCTGGGAAAGGCTCTAGTAAGTTCTTACTGTATTCCTATTTACTGCTAAGATTACAGTGAAAACCACCATGCTACTTGGTATAAAATTCCAGAAACTAAAGCAGCCTGGCAGTGGGCTTATAAGGAGGGAATGGGACTTCTCTGGTTCAGTATACCCCAAAAATTTCAGTAAAGCTGAAGCTACCCCTTAGCTGACAGAGCTGACTGCTTACTGATAGGCTTTGCTTCTCTCCTTTCCACCAGTCCAGTCTACTCCTCATCCACAAAATATGAATCCCTAGAAGCATCTTTATTACCACAAAATGAGCTTGCTTTCTCTGCTGTTATGCTTTCTCTGCTTTCTGTGCTGCCATGGCCAACAGCCAACACCACTTGCAACTCCAGAACAACTCATGCCTGTGCCCCTAGTTACTCTAATATTGGTCAAGGGTACAACAGCAGAGGTTATAGCAACAGCCTCCTCCTAGAAGCTTTGCAGAGGTGTCACAAGAGACACACATGCCTAGAATCCAGTTAGGTGAAGCCGAGGGTAAGAAAGCAAATAAATGTAGGGAATAAAAAGGTATATTGAGAGGCATAAAAGAGACAATTGAAACCCTGCCTCCCATTACATACTTGATTCCCAAACCACTGGGTCAGGACACCTGTTGGAGCATGGACTACCACTTTTCATCAGTGTCATGCTTGACATGCTGATGGCATGCCATAGTGGAAAATCGCAGTGCTTCTGTTCCAGCTGCTTTTCTGACAGTCAAGAGGTATACACTGTCTCCTCCATCTTCTTTTAAAAACCTCCAAAGCGAATTATGGCTGGCTTACACTTTTTCTTACTAGTTTGTCTAAGGGTTATATCAAGCTTTGATACCAGATTTGGTCCATTACTTCACACCCCTCTTTTCTGTCTTGTTTAGACAATGTTAAGGTAATACCAGTTAAATTAAACCCTGGAGTTACACTGTTACAATTTGTTGCCTGGATTCATCCAATCCACCTATGAGTTTTGAAACCCAAAAGTTTTTCCAAGTACCTGGAAGAAAAGGACTCCCTGTCAAAACTCAGATCATGTGTCTCCCCTGTTTGGTATCCTGTTGCTGACTGATGGGAATCACTTACGCTTTAGAGGAAACGGGGCCTTTCCTCAGAACACTTGTCAAATGCCTTCACCTGGAGTCTTAAGAGGGCTCCCATATGGCATCCCCCCAGGCATGGGCAGGGATGATGGAGGCACACATCTAGGCAGATAGGATCTTTAAGAAGAAACAGAGTCACCTACCATGTTTAGTCACCTCCAGGAATGACTTTTTTTGAGGCTGTGCCTTTGAATTAAAAGGTCTACAGCAAGCATAAATCTGGAACCAGGCCCCTAAGTGCTTTTAGTGCTCAACCTGTAGCCAGCCTGAGCTTATCCATGAGAAGGGTGAGAGCTGAAGAGAAAGAGCAACAAGAAGATTTCTGATACCGGGTGGATCTTTAAGTATGCTGAAAAGACAAACAATGGGTCTACACCTTTTTTTTACTGGGGACCCCCAAAATGGACACAGCACTCCAGATGTGGCCTCACCAGTGCTGAGTAGAGGGGAGGGATCACATCCCCCAACATGCTGGCCAAGCTCTTCCTAATGCAGCCCTTGGCCTTCCCTGCCACAAGGGCATGTTGATGGTTCATGTTCAACTTAAGCCCACCAAGACCAAGTTGCTGTAAAGCCACTGGTGAGCCCCCAGCCTTTACTGGTGTATGGGGCTATTCCTCCCCAGGAGCAGGACTTTGCATTTCCTTTTGTTGAAGAGGGCAAGACCTCTGGCAGCCCATTTCTCCAGCCTCAGCAGTCCTCAAGGCCCAGCCCAGCTGGGGGCTTTGCCCTGCCCAGGCCTCACACACCAGAGGGGCTTTGCTCTGCTGTCTGGAAGGGCAAGCAGGGGGACACACACCACACTGCCCTAGCTTAGGTGTTGGTTCCCCACGCCTTAGGCAATATGCTCTGCATCTGACTTCTCCTGACTGACTCCTGCCATGGGTGGGCACCATGACCACCCCTGCTGACAGTGGCCCCCTTGTCCTAGCCATCCCTGGGTACCCATAGAACAGACTTTGCCCCATCACCCGCTCCCCTAGGACCTAGTTGCAGCTTCCCTCATGCTCGGGGGGCTGGGGGACACATCAGGGGCACAGACACAGCAGAAGCCCCTCATGCCTTGCTCCCAGCCCACCAAGGCCAGGGGACAAATGGCTTGTCTCTGGAGCCCATTTCCAGTTCCCCTTCCCTCAGCACTTGCCGACCACCTCCCCAGCCCTACGCTGGTAGGTGCCCTGGGGAAGGCCCCAAGGGTCCCCAGAGACCTGCAAGCCACAGCAGGACCCCCCTCAGCACCTCTTCCACTGCCATTAGAGCCCCCTGGGCCTTTGAGGACTGGACAGGGGGTAGCCAGCATGGAAAACCAGAACCCATCAAGAGACAAACTACTTGTGGGGCTTGTGGGAGGTGCTGGGGAGTAGCTGTGGGGCAGTTTTGGGGGCAACTGTGGGGCTGTGGAGGCTGCATGTGTGGGGGGATGGCTTCTCCATGCTGGGGCTGTGTGGGGGCCAGTTGCTCTGTGGTAGTGGCTGGGGGTGGTTCTGGGATGAGGGCTTAGGTAGAAGCTGCTTTGCAGTGGGCTAGGCTGTGGTGGGGCAGATGTGGGGGGAGGGGGAAACCACTCTACAGTTGGGCAGTGTTTGGGGTACTTGCTGGTCTGTGGGGCCAATCCTCAATGGGGTTTTCATTCCTTCAGGTTAGGGTTGCAGCTCTGGGGAGAAGGCCATGGTGATGTGAGGCTGTAGATTCACAGTGGAGCAATGGCCACCTCTGCCTCAGTACTGTCTGGGGCAGAGCCATGGCTGTAGGGGTGTGAGGGGGCACCAGCCTTTCCATGTGCTCGTTGAAACCAACCTGCTGCTCCTGTGGATGTTGTCCAGGATACCTCAGTTTCCAGCTCTGTAAGTCTTAGCAACTGGGCACACCCTGAGGTGCTTGAAGGACTCAGGGGCACAATCAAAAGCAAACCAAATGTTTCTGGGAGGCACAGAGAGTCATCTGACAGGTTTTGGGAGCCTCCAAAACAAAACCAAAAGGTTTACCCAGGCACCTAAATGCACACAGAGGGCTCATGGAGGCACCAAAAGAAGCCTGGAAAGCTCTTTGAGGTGTCCAAAGCTGCACAGAGGGCTTCTGGGTGGGGACTAATGGCTTTCCAAGTGCCCAAAGGGAAATGGAGGACTGAGAGAGGACAATGAAACAAATATGGAAGGTTCCCAGGCCTCAGCCCAGGAGATACAACCTGAAGGCTTGAAGTAGACACACTACCATCACCTGCAGGGACAGCCAACTGGTAGAACCAAGACAGCAAAAAGGTGAGGTATGGGGGGGTGTCAGAGCCTGCAGGTGGGTGTCCTGTACTCAGGGAAGCTTGCATCGCCCCAGGTTGGGCTGGTTTTGATTGCCTTTTAAGCAGGGATGACCATCCCAGCAGCCCTGGAGAAGCCCCTGGACCTGCCTGAGCTGAGGCTGGATGTCTTCACCAAGGCCTTTCTTGAGCTGGCAGGGGACAACCAGCAGTTTCAGGATGAGCAGACATTCACCATGGACATCACCGACACACGTGCCTGGCTCGACACCATGGATGGCAAGGACACTGTCCCTGATGTCCCTGATGTTCCCAACAGGCCCCGCTTGACCATCTTCCTCAACAAAGCTCCCTGATGCCTTAGAGTACATGGTGGAGGGTAGCTGCCCCAAGGAGCAAGTGGTGGCGGTGAGGCTGGGGGACAGCGAGGACACTGTCCCCAATGTCTCCAACATCCCTTACTTGACTATGTACCTCAAAAAGTTCCCTGACCTCTTGGAGTACAGGGCAGAGGGCAGCTGCCCCACAGAGCAAGCAGCGGCAATGATGCCAGCAGACAGCGAGGACACCATCCCTGATGACCCAAACAGCTCCACCTTAACCGCCTTTCTCAACAAGCTCTCCAAGCATGTGGCAGAGGGCAGCTGCCCCAAGCACAAC